GCTTCTGAAGGGGCTTACTACGTCTCTTCAGAGTCTAATATTCTCGGGCTTTGACCTGTAATTTTTCCTGTTCTGTTTACCATGAGGAATCAACAAATTGTAAAATTTCTGAGCTGTTCTTTTTCCTCTTCATTGACCATGACAAAGCCCTGTATTAAAGGGCAGGTAGGCCCACTACTACGCAAGTATGCTAGAGAAATAAAAGCTGTGACATGCACAGATGCATGCACATCCATTTAAAGGAGCTCTGGTGGTATAGTTGTTAAGGCATTGGCTGCTAACCAGACGGTTGGTGGTTCAAACCCACTAGTCGCTCCATGGGAGGAAGATGAGGCAGTCTATTTCCGTAAAGATTTACAGCCTTGAAAACCCAGTGAGGGTTTCTTGGAGTCAGAGTCGGATCCAAGAGTAGGTTTTTTTTGTGTTTTTTTTTTTTTAATTACTATTTTTTTATTATTGCAGTGTTCCTTTCCTTCCCCTCCCCTCCCACCCCTGGTGAATTTGGTTGGTTTTGTATGTTCATTGTAGCACTATTCACAATAGCAAAAAGATGGAAGCAACCTAAATATGCCCATCATTGGAGGAACGGATCAGCAAACTATGGTACGTATATACACACAACTTTAACGAATGAATCTGCAAAACATAACATGGATGAACTTGGAGGCCATTATGCTGAATGAAGTTAGTCGATTACAAAAGGACAAATATTGTATGAGACTACTGTTGTAAAAAGTCAGGAAAAGGGCTTTACATAAATGAATAAATAAATGAATGAATGGTTACCAGGTGTGGGTGGGAAAGGGAGGCTAAAGCATTAACTAGAGGGTGGGTGGGAAGGGGAGGCTAAAGCATTAACTAGACGATAAACACATTAACTTGGGTGGGGGGGTACAAAAACTAAGGGGCAGATGCTATAGGCACCATGTCTAGGAAGACATAGGCTTTCCAGAAGCAGTTAGAATCAGAAACTAGGCCAGGAGCAAAAACAGAAATAAAGGACAAGTAGGAGTTGTTCCTAAATCATAGGGATCAAATGGTAGCAGCAGATCCAGTTGACTTGTGGGTGCTATAGTTCTCCAAAACCTTTATCAAGTGTTTTGACTTGGGCTTAATCATATTTGGACTTCTTTAAGGGTGAATTTTGGTTCATTTAAAAATTTGATCAAAATTAGCTTTGTAGAACAATTAAAAGATTCTCCCCTGCCATCAGATTTTCTGTATTTTTTCCTTCAGATGCCAAACTTTAAGGTAGCTATTTTGTTTGTGTATTTCAAAAAGATTACATTTTCTGATCTTTTTGATACTGTTTCATACTAAAGAAATAACACTTGGTGTCACAGTTTTTCTTATGGCCATGAATGAAGGTTTGGAGTGAGCTCACTTTGACTAATAAAATGTAGTAATATTTTGGAAAGAATAAATCTGGTTCTCAGTAGGAAGAAGTGGGGGAAGAAGATTTGATTAGGGCAAGAAATAAGGTATAAGAACTTCAGTCTCTTTGAAGCAGGGCTTCAGAGATGGCAGCACACACTCAAAGATGGGATCTCTAAGCTCTCTTGTAGGGCACAGAGCAGACAGCGTTTATTAATACAGGTGGAAGGAGTATGAATTACTTAGAGACTTAATTGTGTTTTTGAGGAGCTGATAAAAGTTAAAACACTCGCAGAGGAATGGAAATTAGATAAGTAACAGTGATTTCAGTTCCTTTTAACAAAATAGCGTTGGTTTCATGTGCTAAGTAATGTTTTTATTTAAGTATTATGAAAGTTCATTTGCTTAAATCAATACTCATTTGAACTGATTTCAAAATCTGTGATAGCATAAATTGAGACAGTCAAATGTGCTGTTCCTAAGACAGTGATATATTTAATGAGTTTATTAGATCTTGATCTTTTATTTATGAAGGCTTTAGCCAGCAATATATAGAATATGCAGGTTTTGAGAGATTCATACTTTTCATTTAATTTATATTTAAACATTTACTTTCATTGTCACTGTGTTAAAGTGATATACTTGTTCTTTGGTGGAATTTTTCACAAACACATTCCTCCCTGCTTGTATATTTGCCTCAAATGATTACTTTTAAGATGCTAGGCCTTATATTGAAAATGAATATGATAGAGCCATTTTTACAGTCCAGATTAACCAGACTTGTGTGCTAATTTCTTTACATTTGATGCTGAAATGGATTTAGATCGGGCTAATATTACTCTGGTGGTGTAGTGCCCAGGGCATGTAACTGCTAACTGGAAGGTTGGGGGTTCAAACCCACCAGCCACTCCTTGGAAGGAAGACTGGGCAATCAACATCCGTAGAGATACCACTTTGCAAACCCAATGAGAGGTTGCTATTGACACCAATGAGGTTGGGTTTTTTTTTTTTTTTTTTTAATTTTTTCCTCTGTAATGTTACCTTGCAGCTTATGCACAGCTGCTACCCCTCTGTCAGTGAAGGCTTACATGGTGCCCTGATGCTGAACAAGTTTCAGAGGAGATGTCAGACTAAGATGGACTAGGAAGAATGGCCTGGTGATCTACTTCTGAAAAATTAGCCAATGAAAACCTTGTGGATTACAGTGCCTGCTAGTGTAGGGCTGGGCTGCATTTTGTCCCATTGTGCAAGGGTCTCCATGGGTTGGGGGCTGATGTCAGTTAACAAGAAAATTGGCTTCTTCCTTTATTATCATTATAAAGGGACTGTTGTTATGTGCTGTCAAGTCAAACCTGACTCACAGCATGTGCTCCCCTCCCCCAACATCAAGACATTTTAACCCAAACTTTGCTCTTTAAATTAAAAAAAATTGACTTTACTAATCATAAAAAAAAAAAAAAAAACAAAAAAAACCTCAATGCCATCGAGTCATTTCCAACTCATCGTGACCCCCATTGGGTTTCTGAGGACATAAATCTGTATGGAATTAGATCATCCCATTTTCCTTCTACCGAGCAGCTGGTGGGTTTGAACCGCTGACCTTCCAGTTAGTAGTCAAGTGCCTTATCCATTATGCCACCACACAAGACAATTCTCTATTCACTTATGTGTTCTCTGATGGAGTTTCTAATTTGTGTTTTTGAAAATGGCAGTTCAAATTACCCAGAGGGAGCGAGTAGTTGAACCTGTGGGCTCAAGACCGTAGTCTCAGGGGACATCAAGCTCATTTGACATAACATACTACACAAAACATTGTTCCACCTCCTACTTTGGCGAGCAGCCATCTAGATGCAATGATGGGTCTCTGCTCATCTAGAGCAAAGAAGAATGAAGAAAACCAAAGATTCATTGAAACAATTAGTCCTCATGACTGGTACACCATGCGATCCTCAGCCTGTATGACTATGAAATCAGAAGAACTAGATGGTACCATGTTAGAGCTCCATCAGCACTCAACGACCATGCCACACACCAGGGTACCCGACAGGAGATTTTATTAAAGAGGCGAAAGGGTGCCTGCACTGAGGAAGGACAGAAGAAGGAGAAGAGAAGAGAGGAAGAAGAGGAGGGGAGAGGGTGGTCTTATATACACCTGGGGTTAGGAGGTTGTACATCAGAGCTGGGGGAAGAGGTCTTAAGCTATCAGAGGCTATGTTGCCTTTTAAAATTCGCACCTTGCAGGAAGCTCAGTTTCGACTTCCTTTAACTGACTTATGACCTTGGGTGGGGCAGCAGGGAATGAAGAAGAACCCAGAAGAGCCACGCAAGATGGCGTGGCATATCTCTAACATTCCCCCCTCTTTGGTTTTTTAAAAGGAAAAATAAAAGGGGGCCCGCTTTTGTGGGAAAAGGGGCGAAGGTCAATCTTTGGGAGCTGCTTCCTGCTGGTGAGGGGCGTGGCGTCTTTGGAAGCGGGGCCTTCCAGTCTATACACGCACTGGAGTTTGTCTCTTGTAGTACCAACACCAGTTTTCTTTTGCTTCAACTTCAGAGATGCTGGGTTGTTTTTCCTGGTTGGTGATTTGTAGTATGTAGAGGTCCTCGAAGAAGAGGCTTCTATAGATGTCGACTCCCAGGGGTCGGCTGGACATGTTTGGCATCTGGTGTTCTGGGACCTGTAAGACAGGCTGGGTTGCAACGATTAGGGGAGGGAAGTGAGAACAGGGAAACAGTGGAGCCTAGGTGGCCAAGGTACCTTATTAGTTGGGTGGTCTTCATGAGCGCAAGGGAATCTCTGCATCTCTGAAGTTGAAGCAAAAGAAAGCTGGTTTGGGTACTACAAGAGATTCCCTTGAGCCTGGTGGAATCTCTGAGTCTATGGCCCCTAGCTGCCCTTCAGGTCTGGAATTGAACCCAGACCTGTGGCTTCCAGCCAAACAAAAGATAGGCATAGGAGTTGAACCATGTACCTGAGGTAGATATACTCCTTGGGGAAAACAATCATGGGAGAAAGAAGGGCTGTTTATGCACAGGAAGATAGCTAGTGCATGGAGGGATGGACACAGGGAAGAGGTAACTATCGGGAGGAAGAAGGAGGGGAGTTGTTGCATTGGGGTAAATTGTACTCAATGTTGTAAGACAACGTGTGTGTGAACTGCTGTATGGAAAGTGAATTTGCTCTTTAAGCTTTCACCCAAATCACAATTTAAAAAAAAAAAAAAAAGGAAGTTCATAAAGTTAATAAGGACTTGAGTTGGAAGACATCTTTGATTATCTGATTCAATCCCTTTACTTTATGACTAATTTTTCTGGCTTGTTTCCTAAGTAACCTGCTTAAAGGCATTCAGCTAGTTTTGGCAAAGCTAGAGACAAGAGTCTGAGCCAGCCAGGTATCTTTATTTCTGCACTAATATATGTCTGTAAGTCTAAAAGAAAAACAGAAGGGCTCTCTGTAGGAAGTTTTGCTTTTTTGTCTGGAAATCAGAAGTGAGGTACTTATATTCCTAACTATATTTGTGCCTTGCAGCCAGCTTTTACTTTCAAACTATAAATTTGTTGTAAGATTATTTCTTAGTGTGTGCTTTTGGTCAAGATTTAAAATCTAAAATGTTGTTATCTACTCCTAGTTGGTTTGGATGCTGCTGGCAAGACAACGATTTTGTATAAACTGAAGTTAGGAGAGATAGTCACCACCATTCCTACTATTGGTAAGAAAGTTGACAAATGACTTTTATTTATGTCATAATAATATATTGTAAAGTGAAATAAAATAGAATTTTATGTTGAAAAATTTAGTTTTTGAAACTTTTATTTTTTAATTTGTTGAAAAACTGGCCAAAAAAATCCCCAAACTCACTGCTGTCGAGTTGGTTCCAACTCATAGCAACCCTTCCGTGGGTTTCTGAGGTGGTATCTCTACAGAAGTAGATTGCCCAACCTTCCTTCTGAGGAATGGCTGGTAGATTTGAACTATCAGCCTTGTGGTTGGCAGTCAAATGCCTTAGGCACTATGCCACCAGAGCTCCTTGAATAACTAGCAGGATTTTAAAAACAGTTGTAAAAGAATTTCACAATAAAGAGGTTTATTTTCTTACTGGCATTTTAACTGCACAGTGGTCATTTTTTTGTTTTTTTTTAAAGGTTTTAACGTGGAAACAGTAGAATACAAGAACATTTGTTTCACGGTATGGGATGTTGGTGGTCAAGATAGAATTAGGCCTCTCTGGAGGCATTACTTCCAAAATACCCAGGTAAGGAATTCTGTGCATTTTTTTTTATAACTTTGTTTTATGTTCTAAAGTTTATATATATGTATAAAATGTAATGCAAGAAAAACCACTGCCATCAAGTCAATTCTGACTCATAGCGACCCTCATTGGGTTTCTGAAGCAGTAAATTTTTACGGAAGTGTATAGCCCCTTCTTCCTTCCACAGAGTGGCTGGTGGGTTTGAACCGCCAACCTTCTAGTTAGCAGTCATATGCCTTAGTCACTGTGCCACCAGAGCTCCTTGTAAAAAAAATGTCTTTCTTTTATAAATGTGTATATATATGTGTAAGTGTGTGTGTGTGTTATATATATGTATAGTGTTTATTTGGGTGGTGGTGGGGTCCACTGTATGTGGGTTGGCATTACTTTGTAATTTATTTCAGTTCTTGAGATTAGAACCATTCCTGGCCCTCTGGACCACCTTAGAATCAAAGCCCAAGTACTTTCTTGAGAGTTAGGCCCACTGAGGAGAATTTTGTTATCTGATAGATAAGCTCTTAGCTAGCTTTTCCAGCATTCCTAATCTGTTCTTCTAGCTATAAAATTTAAAAGAAACTGATTATAGCCATTAATCATGTTTCTAATTTATATTAGCAATCCAGGACACAATGCCTCTAGTGGTAAATTCCTCTCCTTTGTTAGATAATTCCAGTTATTTTGCTGTTCTGTATAAGTAAGTAAATGTTCGGCCTTTAATTTTTGTCTTATAATAGTCAATTTCTCTAGAATGTTAGCTTTTTGATTCTGGGCTGTCTTAGGAAGGAAAAAATTTGGAGTTTAATTCTAAATTATTTTCTCTCAATAATACTACTTTAGGACTGATAACAAGATTTGCATTTTTAAACAGTAAAAAGGAAATGTTATGAGCCAAGATAAATTTACAGAGATATTACTTCTTATAGGGTGTAGGTTCTTAAAAGAACTTTTGGGAAAGGAGATAAAACATATGTGAAACATGCTGCTACATCCTTTTATACCTCCATGATTACATTTATCCTTTAATAGTCTTATAAGGTTAATGGTATTAATTTTATTTTAGAAGAGGTTGCAGGTTCAGGGGTTAGATAACTTATAATAGTAATAAGAGTGCCAAGATTTGCATTTGGGTCTAACTCTCCAGCACACACTTTGGCTTTCAAAGTACCAAAAATTCTCTCAAAGAACAGAATGTTTAAAATGATCGTTTCTACAGAGAAAGAGGAAATGTATGTGAAATTTGTCCAGACCAAAGGATATTAATGCCATTTAATGACTCTCTAGCCTAAAATAAGTATGAGGTGCAAGTCCAGTACTGTGTGGTAGTACTGAAGGGTAAATAGAAAATAGTGTAGGATAGTTTTTTGCCCTCATTAGATTTAATATAGTTGGTTACATACATAAGTTATAACACAAGACATTTTGTGGTAGAATGACAAATGACAAAAGTACTTTAGGGGTTAAGAGTTTTATGAAGAATATTTAAAGTAATCCGTTTTAATGTTTATAGTTTATATTTTAATAAGGCTTATAAAATGAATTTTCCCTCTAGCTTAAAATTTATACTTTTCCATTTGAAAGGTTTTAGAAGTCTTATTAATATAATTCCTTCCCAGCTTCATTTCTTTTAAAGTATAGAATTCTAATATTTGAGTATCTTTAAAAATTCCTACTATCTTCCTTTTTGTTAAGAATTTGTTAAATAAATTGAGCAAATGAACTTTGAATTTTCCTTGTTATATTTTGCTTAAGACTTCCTCTGGTTCTAGAGTAGGCAGGCAACTTTCTGAATCGAGGCTATCTATTCTTTTCCTGATAAGCATATACAAACTACTGTAGTCCCCCTTCTTTTTTATTTTATTTCGTTTGCACTTTATGCATGCCTTTGAGTAAATAAACTAATTTAGTTAGTAAGTTCAAGATTCTTGAGGAACTTTTATTTTTCCTTTTGTCTCCACCTTGTGGCTATTTTGCTACTTAAACTTTCCTGCACTTAAATGTACTAGAGAAAACGATAAAATTGATTCCTTAGCATAGTTGACAGTTGTCTAAGAGTAAAGTATTTTTAGATTTGAAGTAGCATTAATAAGTTAAAATGACAAAAAGTGCTTGAAGTGCTTGAATCAATTTTTAGAGCCTTGTTCTTTTTTTTTTTCCTTTAACGGAGACTTTTTTTCCCCCTGCTTCTGACCCTTGATATAATTTTGTTGCCTGTACTTATTTTCGGGAGCTCTGGTAGCATAGTGCCTAAGGCACTTGACTACTAACCATAAGGTTGGTGGTTCAAACCCACTAGCCACTCCTCGGAAGGAAGATGGGGCAATCTACTTCCGTAGTGATACTGCCTCAGAAACCCACGGAGGGGTCGCTGTGAGTCAGGTCCAACTCAGCGGCGCATAACAACACGACCACCACATACTTATTTACGTATTGAATGAGTCTTTTAAATTTAACTGTTTAATTTATTGAAACAATTTTCCCCTAGGGTCTTATTTTTGTGGTAGATAGCAATGATCGTGAACGAATTCAGGAAGGAGCAGATGAGCTGCAAAAAATGGTAAGGCTATATTTGAAATTAATAACATTTCCAAAGAGGTAACTGTCGGAAGGAAGTGGGAGGGGAGCTGTTGCATTGCGGTAAATTGTGGTCAATGTCATGAGACAAAAGTGTATGTGAACTGCTATATGGAAAGTGTATTTGCTCTGTAAATTTTCACCCAAATCACAATTAAAAAAAAAAAAATCATTTCCAAGGTGTTTTCCTGGTTCACAGTGGTGGTGTTGGTGTTTGGTACATTTAAGCTATGACTAGATTACATATATGACTGTTTTTGAGATTTAGGAAGAATCTTGAAGGGAAATTACTACTTATGGGTTTCTTAGAAATGTACATAAAAATCTATTCCAGACATGTTTTGAAAACACATGGAAGAATATAGCTGAGTAAGTTGGGAAGAAATCTTAGTTACTTTTTAGAATGCTCCGTGGGTGATTTTGATGCATATCTTGGGTTGAGTCTTTGGTTAAGACCTTTATCGTGTAGATACAAAATCTGTCGTTTTGAAGTTGTTACTTTTCCCCCCAAGATTAACAGATTGCATTTCTCTAAGCTATGCCTACAGTGACTTCAGAAATATTTTGTAATAGCAACCATTCTAAGCAGTTGTACTTAATAGTACTTATTTTCATATTCATATTGTTATTTTATATTCATATTGTTAAAAGTCCTGAGAGGAGGAAAATTGTTGAGGAACCCTTTCAAAAGAACTTTATCATGGTTTCAAACTTGTAGCCAATAAGTATTAACCGAAATGAACTCTTTTTAAATTCTCATTCACTGCCCTAAAGGCTAATGTGCAGCTTTTAAAACTTTTAGTTTAATTATATAAATAATTAAATCACCAGTGTTTTTTTTTTTTTTTTTTTTTCCATAATGAAACAAATGTTACCAACTAAAAAATTCACATAACCTTAAAATATACCCATTAAAAATACGTAAGTCAGTGATTTTGGTATATTTATAATATTATACAATCAGCACTAAAATTTAGTCTTGTTGTTGTTGTTATGTGCCGTCGAGTCAGCCCTGACTCATAGCGACCCCTCCTTGGGTTTCCGAGGCAGTATCACTACGGAAGTAGGATTGCCCAACCTTCCTTCCGAGGAATGGCTGGTGGGTTTGAACCGCCAGCCTTCTGGTTAGCAGGCAAGTATCTTAGCCACTATGCTACCAGAGCTTAGAGCTTTTTATCTCCTCCAAAAGAAACCCTGTGACCATTGTTATTGTTATTGTTGTTATATGCGTCAGACCTGACTCCCAGTGACCCCTCCTTGGGTTTCTGAGGCGGTATTACTAAGGAAGTAGATTGCCCGACCTACCTTCTGAGGAGTGGCTGTTGGGTTTGAACTGCCAGCCTTCTGGTTAGCAGTCAGGTGCCTTAGGCACTATGCTATCGGAGCTTCCCAATAACCATTAGCAGTCACTTACTACTCCTTTCCCTTCCAGTTCCCAGCAACTACTAATCTATTTTATGTCTCTATGGTTTGCCTGTTCTGGATATTTCATATAAATGGAATCATAAAATATTTGGTCTTTTACAACTGACTGTTTCCACTTAGCATAATTTTTCAAAGCTCATACATGTTGTATCATATTAGCACTTCTTTCCTACCCTTTTCCACACCTGGTACTGTTATTACATTTTTCTTAATGTTGCTGAACTGAAAAAAAAAACCAAACTCGTTGTTGAGGCTATTCAAGCTCACAGTGACTCAGTCTATAGAACAGAGTAGAATTACCCCATAGGGTTTCTATAAGGAAGCAAATTGCTAAATCTTTATCCTATGGAGTAGCTGGTAGAACTGCTGACTTTCAGTTAGTGGCTTTAACCACCTTGCCACTAGGACTCACACCCTAAAATTGGGATTTTGTTCCACTGTTAATCTGGTCTAGCTATTTGGAAAGGATGAAAGTCCAAAAAGAATCATCTAAATACCTGTACTACTAACACCATTAGATCTGTTTTAGGATAGTTTATCTCCATATGTACTTTTTGTCCTTGTCAGTCTTGACCTTTGGGATCATTAAGAAGGCTGAAGTATGGTTTACATTAAGGGAATACAGCATGGTTGGCTTGAGAAAGTTTCACTTTACTTGTCTGTGCATGATTGTTTGCACTAGATATAAAAGACAGAAGGATATAGGATTTCAGTTATAAAGACTACCTGAACCTTTATGTAGAGAATTAGTTTGATGTTTTACCATGTATTCGATGATGAATAAAGGGTATATGTAGGAAGATGGTATTTCACTCAGTTAGTTACAATAATTGGATTCCAGTTGGATTAGTTGCTAATACTTCAGCTTTTTTTTCCAGCTTGAGGAAGAAGAGTTGCGAGATGCAGTGCTGCTGCTTTTTGCAAACAAACAGGACTTGCCAAATGCTATGGCCATCAGTGAAATGACAGATAAATTAGGTCTTCAGTCTCTTCGTAACAGAACAGTAAGTATTTGGAAACTTACATTAACCTAGTATTCAGTTTGAACATTTATTTCTAAACTAGTTATACCACTTGAACAGATAATAAATAACGTGATTTAAAAAAAAAATACTTGTTTACATAAAAATGAGTCATGTCAGATTTTATTTCAGGGTTGTTAACTTTATCCTCAGAAGGTATAGTACTGATAACAATGTGGAAAACTGCACTGTGGAAGATTTAGAATATCTAAAGACTATTGATATTCTTAATTATTAATTTTGGATAACTGTACAAAAAATACTTTATAATTTGCTTGTTAAGGGTCCAGTGTTTCACAACCATTTTTTAGATAATGTTTAGTGTTGTTTCTGTGCATGTTAACATTAAAAGTTTTTGGAGAAACCCATAATTATAACCCTCCAGCTACTCTGTGGAAGCAAGACTGGGCAATCTACTTCTGTAAAGATTTACCACCTTGGAAAGCCAGTGGGGGTTGCTATGAGTTGGAATTGATATGGTAGCAGTGGGTTTGGTTTGGTGGTTTTTTTAATTACAACATTAAACAAAATTCTGAGATAATTTGGAATATAAGATGATAAATGTTGTAGTTGTTCTCAGCTTATTTTAGATCAGTGATTTGAGTATTGACAAGAAGCATTCATAATACTGTTTTATATATAAGTAAATGATAAGTGTGTCTGTCATGTGCTTTATGATAATTTTGCATTAACTTGTCAACAAGGTAAATACTGTGCTGTGACAATAAAACAGAGTAGACTTAAATGTCCGAGGCTGATTTAAAGAAGGTAAAACTGTAAATGATCAATTTTCCATGCTGTGAAAGTACGAATTCATGCCTTTCCCCAGCCTTCTAGATTACTGGGTGTTTGTTGCTCAAATACTGATTTGGCACCATGGTATACATACAGTGACCTTACAACATAAAGTAAGATCTCTATTTTAAGGCAAAATAAAACTTCAGTGAAAAAATAAAAAGAAGTTATCTCTTGAAAGTCATTAGGTTGCTTTTTAGTTCCTTTCTTGTTACTTAAAAATTTTTATGGCATTTTATAGTTATTAAAGATAAAAATTCATTCATTCATTCTTGTATTTAGAGATTTTTAGAATTTCATGTTTAGAATACATGATACTAAAGATAGTAAAATTATCTGAAAATCTTGCCCTGATAGTAATGATCCTCCTATTCTTTCAAAATTTTGCCTTTTCTACTTTCAGTTTAGTTTTATAGCCAACAAGAAGATTAAAAGGACTAAGTGGGTAGTTTTATCAGTTATAATTTTCCCATGAATGTTCTCTTTAGATGAACGTAGTGGATAATTGGTTAAGTCTAATGCTTAGCTAGGAATAGCATTAAATATGAAAATTTTAAAATGAGAAACAAGAGGTCTGAGAAGATGCCCAATATAAAGGGTAGATAATTTTTGAGTGATCTACAGTTAACTTAAATCATTGAATGTAAAATTGTTAGTGAGATACTATACTATAACATGTTTACACATGCTTATTCCTGTAGCTGTATAAATTATTTTTTTCCTATTTTCCTATGCATTTATGGTAAATTGATGACTCAGTAACATGGGATTTGGGGAAAATATTATATTTGCTGATTAAGTAAGTTTACCCTGTAAATAATCAATTATATGAGACCAAACAGTCAACATTTACCCAAAAGCAAAGATGACAAGGCAAAGACAGCAGGGAAACTGGATGGATGAAAATGAGGTAGAAATGGTGAGGGTGCTGACCCGTTGCAGGGATTGTAACCAGTGTCAATGGAACAATTTGTGTATAAATTGTTGAATGAAAATCTAATTTGCCGTGTAAACTTTCACCTAAAACACAATAAAGTATTTGAAAAAGAAAAATTTTAAACGCTGTTGTCATACATAACCTTGTTAATCAAATATTTTCTTGTTGCCTTTTCTTTACAGTGGTATGTTCAAGCCACTTGTGCTACACAAGGAACTGGTCTGTATGAGGGACTTGACTGGCTGTCAAATGAGCTTTCAAAACGTTAAATGAAACTGGATAACTAACCAAGGACATATTTGATAAAATTGGTCTAGGCTTGTTACAACAAAATTAGTTTGCATCTTGGTTATTAAACAGTATATGGGACTGGTTTTGGGCAGACTATTACAGCGTTTAAACTTACTTTGTTGCCAATTATTGTTTACCAAGTGGAATGTTGCTGTTGAGCAATATACTTGGTTTTAAAGAAATTCTTAATTTGGAAAAAGAAGTGTCCTCTTTTAGTTTTACTTCCCTTAAGCCTAAATGCCTGGTCATAGTTATGTGACACCTTTAAATAAATCTGTTTTGAATGTCTTTTTTTTTTTTTTTAAGACAAAATTGTTATAATTTCATACAACAAGTAATTTCTGTGAAAAATAGAAATTGGGTTTTAGCACTATATTCTGCATGTTCCACCTTGTTCCAAAAGATATTTTAATGTTTTTCTTTTCTAAATTTTATTTATTTTGTTGTTGAGAATATATACAGCAAAACATAAACCAATTCCTCAATTTCCATTCTGAATGTCTATTGACCCCACAACAAAGACAGTAACTCATGTTTTAAAGTTATCCCTTTGCTTCTTTACTCTGATACCTTGATCATTCCTGGGACAATCTGCTGATTAGAAGTATAGCATTCCATTTGTATTTATTTCTCTCCCTTGGCAGAATAGATTTTCTGATACTGCTTGTGTCAGCCAAGGAAATGCTCCAAAACACTATTCAAATCTCTTGCACTGACAGGAACAACCCAGCGCCCCGCCCCCCCCCAATGACTCCTGGGCTTTATCAGCCAAACTTAACCTTGGTATAGTTTGGAATTGATAGCTAATTAATTCAGTGCTGGTTGCAAAGAGTTTGTATTGAGATGATTTTTATTACTTGGCAGATTGTCTTCCTTTATATTTTATCTTTTTTATGTTGCATGTTGCTTTTGGTATCAGCCTGATTCTTGGCCCAGTATAATAGTTCTGCTGACGTTTTATTGATTATTGGTGAATATGTCTTCATTAAGAGTTTTTTGAAAACTCACCAAACTCAATTTATAAGTTTATTCATAACTCATTTGGAATTATTCCTAATAAAATGATAAAATACGTAATTGTGTGTGTTATTTTTGATTCTTGAAGGTATTTAATAGGGGTTTTCAACAAATTTGCTTTGCATATATTACATACTGTGAACAATAATATAGATCCAAGTGGGTTTATTAATTGTTTAAATTAGACATAAAACATAGGTTTGTTGTGTGTGTAACACTGGGAAGCACCTTCAAAATTTCCCTTTGATAAATGCAATTTTGATGCTGTCAGTTTCTAAAGTCAAATCAAGAAAGCTGTAATAAAGTGAACTGCCTAAAAAAAGCATGTATGGATGTGTTTGTTTACAGCTGACATTTGTTTTTTAAAGAAATTAAGTGTAGAATGCATGAAGAGTACATATGTTGGTGATGTTACTCTTCTACAAAGAACAAATTTCTCTAGCACATATCTTTTAAATTCACAAATTTCAGAACTTCAACAGAAAGGTCTGTGATAATGGGTACTTTTTTTTCCTGAGAACTTTGAGGCAATAAAGGTACGTATACCTCACACACCAGCTACATTTATTATGTTATTAAGGAATCAACTTTTGGTACCTTATGAGTAAGTTAGTTTTTAAGTCTACATGCTAATTTTTGTATTTATAAACCTTTTGTGATTCTTAATGGTTTGTGTAGATTCAGTTAAGGTCATGGATTGAAAATTTATTACCAAAACTAAATATATGTTTGTTTAAAAAATATATGTTTTGAAATATTTGTAAGAAAAATATCATAGGATTAAGTGAAAGGAAATTGGAATTGAGTGACTGATGATTGTCAAAATCAGGTTACTGAGGGGTGTGTGCTTAACTTGTTTTTATATCTTTTGTAGTCACCTAGATGAATGCCTCCTTTCTCCCTCTCCCCTAAAACAGGAAAGGTCTCATTTCTTGGGTAAAACTGGAATATAGTATATTATGTGTGGTTTTATAGGATATTAACTAGAAGATAGAATATTTTAGTAGATTAATATTTGTGCCCATTCCAAAGAAAGGTGATCCCACAGAATGTAGAAATTATAGAACAATTACCATTAATATCACATGCAAGTAAGATCTAACTGAAGATAATTCAGAAACGTTTGCAGCAGTATATTGATAGAGAACTTCCAGAGGTTCAAGCCGGA